TTTCCCATTTCCATTTGTCCAGATTACCTGCCTGTTCCTGCCTTCTGAAATTTGCTTTTGGGCTAATGCTGCCCTTTTGGTTTTACATGTTGAATTTTTTGAGAAACACGTTCCTTACTGGTGTTATTATTTACTTTATAGGCTTGCCTGTTGTTTGGCTCTAAGATGGTCTCTGGGAGTGGGTTTAGTTCTGAGTATGAAGGTTGTCTAAGGGCTATAGTCTCAGAGGTTCTACCAGCCTCTATCAAAACAGTAAATCCAGTCTTTTTCTATAAATTTGAATTTTGTTCTACATTTTTTTTTTTTCCTCTCTCTGTCCAGGACCTACTATTGTGATCCTGGTCAGAGCTATTGGTAGTGGTAGTTGGGCATCACTTAGTTCTTCTGGTCTCAGGCTGGTGGAGGCTGTGGTTCATGTGGTCCATTAGTCCTTTGGGTTAATTGTTTCCTTGAGTCTTTGGTTTTCTTTACTGTTCTTTGCTATGGATGAGAAGAGACCAATCTCAGATGGCCTCTTGAAAGTTTTTAAGACCCCAGTTGCTACTCATCAAAGTAGGATGTATAACATATAGACTATGTTATAAGGCTGACTTTGTTTTACTAGTTAAGCAAAACTGTTGTTTGGTTTTAAGAAGACTTTTGGGGATATTTTTGGTTTAAGGTAGTTCTTCTAGTCTCAAGGTCATGGAGCCTCAGGTTCACATGGTCCATTAGTCCTTTGGACTAACGCAGCTTTGATTTTTTTTCACTCTTCTTTGCTCTGGATTGGGAGAGACCAACAGTTGAACCTTAAATGGCCACTCACCAGCTTTTAAAATCCCAGTTGCTATTTACTTACCAAGGTACGATGGAAAACATTGTTTTTGAGGACTATGTTATGCCAATTGACCTTGATGTCTTCTGTGACTACAGTTCAGACCCTGCAGGCCCAGTGACTCATTCCTTCAAGGTGTTTGGTTATGGCTAAGAAGTTTTCATAACTTATCTTCCTGTATGTTGTTGTTAAGTGCCTATATCCTCCTGTATGCTCTACTATATTTGTGGCTGTGCTACCAAAGGTAGGACAGAGGTAGGAATTCTCTTATTAATCTAAATAAATAAATAAATAAATAAACCCACTGCCATGGAGTCGGAGCTGACTCATAGTGACCCCTCCTTGGGTTTCTGTGGCGGTATCACTGCGGAAGTAGATTGCCCTTTCTTCGGAGAGTCGCTGGTGGGTTTGAACCTCCAGCTTTCTGGTTAGCAGTCATGTGCCTTAGGCACTACTCCACCAGAGCTCCCTCTATTATTAATAGCAGTGGTGAAAGTAGCAACACCATCCTTACCAAAACTATGACGTGAGATAAGCAAGTTGCAAGAAGAGAGAGCATCTTAGTGAGAAAAATGCTTGAGAGAATATAGGAAGAAAACAAATCCTGTGGAGATATGCCTTTCACCATTTACCTGCCTTAAATAGGGTGAGGAATGCATGGAAAAGAAATACTTGATTAAATACTGAACCACAGTAACTGTTAGTGAGGAAGAATTTGAATTTGGAATGGGAAATGACAACATGACTGCTGCTGAGAGAGAGCTTGGGGTGTCCTGCATCCCAGGAACCTTGAGATTTAATTGGAGAGCAAACTACAGGATATTAAATGAGAAAAAACAAATTGTTAAACATTGGAATTACCTAGGAGTAGCACATTTTTCAACATTGTAATTCCTTTTGCTAATATTATGTATTCAAGTTTTCTATTCTAACTTATAACTAAATCATTTTTTTAAAAAAACATATTTTATTAAAATATAACTTATGTACAGTGCCATACATAAAACTAAAGTGACATGGGTTAATGCATTTTTTTTGTTGTGTTCCCTCCCCTCCCACCCCTGGTAACCAACAAAGAAAGTTTCTTTCCATATATAAACCTTTCCTTGAGTTTTTACAATAATGAACTAATACTGTATTTGTCCTTCTGTTACTGACTATTCCACTCAGCATAATGTCCTCCAAGTTCATCCATATTATGCAGTGTTTTGCAGATTCTACATTATTCTTTAGTGTTGAATAGTATTCCATTGTGTGTATGTACCCTAGTTTGGTTATCCACTCTTCTGTTGATGGGTACCTAGGTTGTTTCCATCTTTTTGCTGTTGTAAATAGTGCTGCGATGAACATGGATGTGCATATATCTATTCTTGTCCTGGCTCTCACTTCTTTAGGATATATATACTTAGTAATGGGATTGCTGGGTCAAATGGTATCTCTAATTTCAGCTTTTTAAGGCTGCAACTCTCCATCTCTTGAGTGGTGCATTTAATCCAGTGACATTGAGTGTAATTATAGACAAGTATGAATTTGTTGCTGCCATTTTTTATGTGCTTTTTCATGGTGTTGTTGATTTCTTTGTTCCATATAATTTTCTGTGCTGAACTCGTTTTGTTTATGAATTGTGTTATCACTTCATTCATTGATAATGTTTTAGTATTTGCTAAATATATGTGCTGGTCCTCTTTTTTATTTTAATGTGAAAGTTTATAATTTTTCTTTGAGGTTACCCTGTGATTTATAATTTTCTTCCTAAGTTTAGAACAGTCTGTTCTATCTTGCAGTTGTCTTGACTTCCCTACCATCTAGAAATTCTGAAACTGCACAATATTTTCCCTCTTTTTGGTTTGTAGTTTTCCTCATTTGTCAATTGATGTCTCTGGTTCCCTATTTAAAATCTTGTAGGCTTATTCACTTTGGATACTTCTGTAACTGGGTTAGTTTCTGGGTTATGTCATCATGTATGTTAATGGTCAGTTATTGTTTGGTGTTGTTGGTTCTCTGTCCAAAGGACTCCCTTTAGCATCTCTTGTAAAGTTGGTCTGGTTTTAACAAATTCCCTTAATTTCTGCTTACCTGGAAATCTCCTAATTTCACCATCATATTTGAGGGACAATTTTACTGGGTATATAATTCTTCATTGGAAATTTTTCTCTTTCAGTGTTTTGTATATACCATCCCACTGTCTTCTTGCCTGCATGGTTTCTGCCAAGAAATCTGAGCTTAGTCTTACGAGTTGCTCCTTGTAGGTAATTTTTGTTTTTCCCATGCTGCTTTTAGGATTCTTTCTTGTCTTTGGTTTTGTTGAGTTTGATGTTTGATGATGATATATCTTGGTGATTTTCTTTTGGGGTCTGTTGGACTTCTTGAATGGAAATATTCTTATCTTTCATCATACCAGGGAAATTTTCCTCCAACAAGTCTTTGACAATTTTCTCTGTGGTTTTATCTTTCTCTTCCCATTCTGGAATTCCAATTTTATGTAGATTATTCCTTTTGATGGTAGCCCACATGAATCTTAGGTTCTTTTTGTTTTGATCTTTTTTCTTATTGATCCCTTTCCAAAGAAGTATTGAGGTATTTGTCTTCAATCTTACTAATTCTGTCTTCCATTGATTGGATTCTACTCCTTTGCCTGTTCAATGTGTTATCTATTTCTGAGAATTTAGTTTTATCTTCTGGATTTCTATCTGTAGATTTTGTATCATTTCTAATTTTTAATTTTGTTCTGTACTGTCCTTTGAAATTGTTCTAGGGTTTTATCTGTGTTTTCCTTAATTTTGTCAGAGTTTTCCTTAATCTGTCTCTCAATCCATTGAAGGTACCTAAATATAATTCTTTTGAATTCCTTATCAGGGAGTTCCAATGCTGCTTCTTCCTCAAGAATATGTTTTGGGTCTGTATCCTGGTCCCTTGTTTCTCCTGCTTTATCTTGCTTCTTTGTGTGGACTGTGATGTTCTGTTGTCTCTGAGACATTGTGATGTTTTTCCTTTTGATGGTAGCCCAAAAAAGGCTGTAGCCATTTTGATTGTTTACAAGCAGTGGCCCTCTTGGATATTTAAAGTGACCGAGGGTGCTGCCATTTTGAATGTTTACAAGCAGCGGCCATAAATTTATATTTAATTGGTGATTGTATGTTGGAATGATTTGTCCATGATTTCCATTTTCTTTGTTTTGTTTGGATGTTATCTATGTAAGCAGGTATTGTGCTCCTGTATTTGCTAGTTGGCAGCACTTATACACTCACCACCTGTCTCCTTTCCCATTGTCAGCCTCCCATATGTCCCTGCTGTCCTTGGCAAATGGAGCCTATTCTTAGGTCCCTGGAATCTGAATGAGAATGCTGTCACGTTAAATATCCACAATGGCCACCACTTGTAAACATTCAAAATGGCTGCACCCTTGATCACTTTATAGGAGCTCTGCTGGTGTAGTGCCTAATGCACTTGACTGCTAATCAGAAGGCTGGTGGTTCAAACCCACCAGCCACTCCCCAGAAGGAATATTGGGCAGTCTACTTCCATTGTGATACCACCTTGGAAACTGAAGGAGAGGTCGCTATGAGTTGGATCCAACTCAGTGGCAGTTAGTTTTGAGTTTTGAGTTAGTTACTTTAAATATCCAAGAAGACTACCACTTGTAAACATTCAAAATGGCTGCACCCTTGGTCTCTTTAAATACCCATAATGGGCACTGCTTGTAAACATTCAAAATGGCAGCACCCTTGGTCACTTTTAATATCCAAGATGGCCACTGCTTGTAAACAATCAAAATGGCTACACCCTCTGGACAGCTGAAATTCCACTGCTCAGGTAGTCTCCCTCCTTGCTGTTTCCCTTCCTAGTCATAGGCCATCAGCACGGTCATCCCTGCAGCCCTTGGCAACCAGGGCTGGTCAGTTATCAGGTCCCAATACCACTTGGAAATATTCAGGCTGTTAGTCCCATCAGAGTAGCTGACAGTCTGCAGCTCTGTCCATCTCTGTACTCACTGTTTTCATTAAGGTTTTTCCACTAGTTGGTGACTCACCCACTTATGTAAACTAAATTTCAAAGCTCAGGGCTCCAGGTTTGTCTTCTATACCTCTGTCAATTGGTTTCTCTTTTCTTTGTTGAAGAGGGCCTGTGTAGCTTGTCTGCCTGTTCTGCCATCTTACTGGAAGTCCTATAACTAAATCATTTTTAAGGCGAAATAATGAGACTTTGATGTGTCTATTTTTTTTTTCTTTTTCTCCAGCTACCTCTGAACAGTGTGAATGAGATTTATGAGCTACGTGTAACAGGCCGTGCCAAGGATGAGATTCTATTCTCTAATAGTACTCTTCTATCATTCGAGACCAAGAGAATGTCTGTGTTCATTCAGACAGACAAGCCTCTGTACAAGCCAAAGCAAGAAGTGAAGTTTCGTGTTGTTACACTCTTCTCAGATTTCAAGCCTTACAAAACCTCTTTAAACATTGTAATTAAGGTAAGTTCCAGACAGAAATGAAGCAAGTAGCTCAAGCTGTGTTACTGGAGCTCTCTTGGAAGCTCACTTGTATTATTGACACTGAAATGAATATCTTAGAACTCACCTGAGCTAAACTTCCCCCTCTACATGAGAATCTTCTCTCTAGGAATGGAGGAGGAAGAGCATCGTGGTTGAGTTTGGGCTCCAAAGTTGGCCTGCTTGAGTTCCAGTCTTCATTGATTAATTCATTTGTCAACTATTTATAGAATTTCTATGGTCTGGACACTGGAGATGGGATACTGAACAGAACCATTTAAGTCTCTGTTCACATCAAGGTTATATTTCAGTGAGTGGAGGGGGGAGACAGACAATAAATACTCAGATATTTGCATATTTGCATATTTACATGTGTGTGTATATACATATGGAGATTTGCATATTTACGTGTGTGTGTGTGTGTGTGTGTGTGTGTGTGTGTGTATGGAGCTCTGGTGGTGCAGGGCCTAAGCCATTTGACTGCTAGCTAGAAGGTTGGCAGTTCAAACCCACCAGCCACTCCATGGAAGGAAGATGGGGCAATCTACTTCTGTAAAGATTTATTGCTTTGGAAACCCAATGGGGGTCGCTATGAGTTGGAATCGACTCAAAGGCAATGGGTTTGGGTTTGGTTTTTTATATATATATGTATATATCTATATCTATATCTAGATCTATATGAATACTAAGAAGAAAATAAAATGAAGTAAAGGAATGTATGTACTTTTGTGCGTGTGTGTGAGAGAGAGTGTTTGTGCTTGCTATTTTCCTTTTACATAGAAAAAGAATTTTTATTATCTTGAATGCTAGTGCATAACACATGACAAACTTAATTAGAGGAGGAGACAGAAAGAAACTTCAGATACTGAGGTGGATTTCTGGATTGGTTGAAAACCTTTAAAATGTTGATAGTATAATTGTTCATAGTCTCTTTTAGATTATCACATCTTTCCTTTTACATGAAAATTTTCAGTAATGGTTCTTATTATGAAGTGTAACTCAAGTCTTTGGCTTGTTAAATTAAATGAAATGCAGAGAAAGAGCAAAATAGAAAATTTCCCTGTTATACAAGGATAATAGAAATTGTTTCCTTTGTATGTTCATATACATATTAATGTCTAAAATTTTTAATTAAGGTCTTAATTTTTGACTTTTAAATGGTCATGAATGGATTTTCTTGACTATCATAGTAGCTTTATAAATTATCAAGATACATCTGCAAGCAAAATTTAGGAGGCTCTTGGAAACACAATTAAAGAAATAGCATATATGATATAGATTTCTTTTGGGATTCGCTCATCCTTTTAGGATACTGAAGAAACTCAATTTATGTTACCCTAATAACTTAGTCTTTGATAACTCTGACTTGAATAAATAACAAGGTCAGAATTTTTAGTTTTCCCAATAGGCTTCCAGTCCAAATAATTTAAAGACACTTATGTCCTAAGTGGGACATTTTTTTTTTTTTTCATCATGTAGTTAATATAACTGGGTTCTTTTATTGGAAGATTGTCTTGATCATGCCTTGTTCTTGCAAAACCATTCCTTACAGTGATAGAGATATGAAAGGTAATTTCCCCAATGCAAGGAAAATAATCTGGATCAATAACAAAGTCAAAGGCATGAATGTTTCAGGATATTCTTGAAAACAGGTTTCAGCAGTCCTAAGATTCTTTTTTTTTTTTTTTTTTTTAATGATTATCATCCATTTTACAACTGTGTGGTCACTGTCCTATTCTTTTCTATTCTGCAAAACAAATACTTTTTTTGTGTGGAAGATCAAGTTTTTCATTGGCATAAAACTATTTAGAATGAACCCCCAAAATAATGGAAACTTGGTCTCTCCTTAAGTAGTTTCCTCTTTTGACAGCATTTACTTACCCTCTCACAACAATCTCATCACAGTTGAATTCTTTGATCAGATGATTGAAACCTATGAATGAAAAAAGCTCTTCAATAAAAGCTGATTAAACAAGGTCTTCTTATAATGCTTCTGAATCTACCATCTAGGGCTGCTTCTCTTGTCCTGGATGTTTCAGAAGCATTTTGTTGGCTTCTTAAGGGCTGCTGATACTCTGTAGCTTGTACCACTGAGCTGTTCCTCTTCTGTTTAGTTGTAGTTGTCCTGGCAGTCATCAAATTCCTTGCCCTCATCCTCACTCTTGAAGACTGAGGCTTCTATCTGACTTGACTACTTCCCTATAACCAAGATCTCCTACCCTCACCAGTGGCTGGGCCTCCTTTTCCTCCACTGGACCTTCCTGCTTGAGCTGTGGTGGAGCCCTGCTGTGGGAGTGGCTTGGGTTGGCCCCCCAATTCCTGCTGCAGACCTCCAGCAGGAATGATCTCTGTAAGATCATTCTTGTCAGGCGTCACATCCATCTGCAGGTCATGGCTCTCCTTACACAGTTTGAACAGCTTGGACATTTCAGACAAAGCATTTTCAGCAAAATGGGACATACCTGTGTTTGCTGTTTTCTATAGAGTTGTCAGGGAAGACCTATTTGAACAGAAACATAAAGGAGATAAAAGAATGAGCCCATACAGGGGGAACAGCATGTGCAAAGGTTCTGAGGTGGGAACTTATCTGGTGTGCTGAGGAACCATGAAGTTCCAGTGCACTGAAGCTCAGGTAGTGAGAAGACAAATATTGAGAGGTGGTCTATACAGGGTCTTGTAGGCCATGGTAAGGATTTTGGATTTTACTCTGAGTGAAAGGAGAAGTCATTTGAGAATTCAGGGGAGAGGCATGGCATCATCTGACTTAACATTTTTTTAAAAGATCACTCTGTGTGCTTAGAGAAGAATAGATTCTAGCTGTGTGACTGTGGGAAAACTAATCTCTCTGAGCCTGAGTTTCCTATCTGTAAATACCTATTAATATACCTCACAGTTATTGTGAGGATTAAGTGAGATAACTGAAGTAGATCACTTAGAACTGTGCCAGACATGTGGTACATGCTCATCAGTCAGTAACTATTATTATTATTATTATAGGAACTGCTTTTGACAGGTGGCCACTTGGCCTCTGCTGCTTCAAACTCCTATGATCTAGAGGCAGCGTGGTTGGCAGACGAAGGGCTTTCCTTTGAGAATCAAGTTGAAGACGATTGAGAGCTAGCTAGGCCTGATTGTCTACATTTAAACTGAGGACAGTTCTAGACATAGGTGCCCAAACTCATTCCAGTTTGCCTGAGGTTCTTCTGATTTTAAAACTGAAGGTCCTGGTAAACCCCTCAGTCCTGAGAGGGTTAGTCACTCTAAATATTCTGATGAATATAGTATGGAAGGTAAATTTTTTGTTTTAGTTAAGTATCTTCCTATGGTTTTTAGGTTCCTTTTTTGTTATAAATTAAAAAGAAAAGCCAGCAAACATATACACATATGTTTGTAGCAAACGCCACATTGTTTAGCATGGTGTTCAATGCATTTTTTCTTGAATTGAACTAGTTTTATTTCAAAGTTTGCAGCTCTGTGATTCTCAGTTTTTGTTACATATTAGAATGCTTATAAAGCAGTTGACTAGTGAATAGAACTTCTAAATTCCTGATATTCTCTGAGCAGGGTTCAACTGACTCCATTCCTACCATCCTTTATCCTTTATCCACATATACTGAGCATTTACTATATGCCAGAAAGTGCATAAAACAGGATATACAAGTAAACATCAGGCTTTTACATTCACTCTAACTTCTGTCTCAGGCCAATAAGACTCCCCAAAGGGTAAATTGCTGGTTCCAGTCGTTAGCCCAGAAATAACCCTGCTGACTCTGAACAGCTGGTCTCTGTGTTCTGTAGTTTTGCCCTTCTGGTCTACTCTAGTATCTATCTTTGCAACTTTGATTTGTAGATTCTTTGGGCTCTTCTCTCTAACTTTCGACTTAGTTTGCTACAATCACTTTTCTCTGAAGTGCTCAGAGAGACCCTCCTCTTGGCCAAAGAAGGAGAGTTTAGACTTTCCACCAGAACACAAAGTGTTTGGGAACATTGAATGGGAGATAGCCATACTCCACTCTCTGTGCCTAGGCAATGAAGCTTGGCTGTGAACTCAGGTCTGCAGCTAGCTTCTTCCCTCCATGTAACTTGCATAGTCCGGGTCATAGTACTGATACAAGTGCCCAAATGTCTGATATCCCTTCATCTGAAAACAGTTCACCAGACTGAAATGCTTTGTACATCTTTCAGTGTGCAATAATTGATTACTTGCTAAACTTCCCAGAAAAAAATGAGACTTAGCCTAACAAGGGGAGCTCTGGTGGCATAGTCCCTAAGGCATTTGACTGCTAACCAGAAGGCTGGTGGTTCAAACCCACCAGCCACTCCTCGGAAGGAAGACTGGGCAATCTATTTCCATAGAGATACCTCCTTGGAAACTCAAGAAGGGGTCGCTATGAGTCAGAATCAACTCAAGGGCAGTGAGTTTGTTTTTAGCATAACAAGTGCTTCTGACTGGGATAAAATTGTGTACTTGTGTATAGCACCACCTGCAGGCTAATGTGAAGAAATGTATCTGAGAGCTATGAAGCCAATTTTTTGGGACCATCCTGCTTAACCAATAATGACTGTTAGATGTAGCAAAGATATTGACTATTATATTCAAGGATATTCATTGTTTCTTGAGGATATTGGGTATTATTCATTTTGCGTGCTCCAATGACTGACTTTCTTAGGAAGGAAAGGGGTTTCAGAGGCTTTCCAGCTGTGGAAAACCTGGCCTGTCTCTGCTCTAATTCTAGCCTTCTCTAGTCAGTCCGGTGGAACACTGTGGAAATAAGTGCCTCTGATATTGTGATGGCAGCTACAGTGACTGGCTTCAACCTTGACCTGTCTTCTTTAAGGAATTGCTCCTGGTAGACATGAGCAACCTGTTGTGACTAGGGTGTTATTCACCTAGGGTTATATCCTGTGATTGTCTGGTGACTATTCTGGCTTGGAGCAGCAATGGCAAACCCAGAACTTGCTGAGCAGATACCTTGCACGAAATCTAGGACTCCAGAAAGCAGCAGAAGTACTTTTTTTCAGGCAACTGCTAGCCAGGGAACTTACTGCTTAATACAGTCTAACACAGGTATCAGATGAGCTTAGTTCCATCCAGAACCATCCAGAATTGACTTAAAGGGTGGGAAAGGCCGCTATTCCAGCATCTTGTGCAGGTGGCTGTTGTGGCTGTGACAGAGGCATCGTTAACATTGTACATGACTATCTTATGTGCATCCCAGTGAGAGATGACCACATGCAAATGCTGGGCTGTTCCAGGAATTTGCCAACAGCGACCTGCTTATTCTTCAGTTGGCGACGGTCTTTGGTTTTAACAATTAGTTTCTGGCTTACCACACTAGAGTGTATTGTGCTCACCCCTAACTTTCACTCTCCCCCCGCCCCCGCCCCTGGCTTCTAATAACTGGGCCAACTCACTACCTCTGGCCAGAGAATGGAGAAAAGAACAGGGGAAAGTATTTGATCTCTACTCTCAGGAGTTCACATTGTAGTGGGAACAAAAAAACACAAGCAATGAGAGTCTTAAACAGTTATAGGTACTCAAGAAAGGCAAACTCCAGGTATATTAGGGACTCTTCTAAGATTGTCTTCTCTGCCTGTTGGAGACATGTACAGAAGGCAAGAAGCTGGAGCTTAATTCACTGGTGGGACAAGGAAAGAAGAGCATTTCATGCAGCAATTACAGAGGCCTGGATACATGGGTGTTTGGGGATGAACTGCAGACAAATCTGTGTGTTGGGAGAAAGATGGGCATGGAAATGTATATGGAGTCAGTTTACTAAAGACCTTATAAACCATGCAGTGGGGTGTAGATTTTATTCTGCAGGCAAACAAAAGCCAACATTATCTACTGGTCTTGTTTAATGATCATAGCCAATGTTTATTAGCTGCTTATTATATAACAGAAACTGTGCCAAGTATTCCAACTACTTACCTCATACCCAGATTTGGGTTTTGAATGGTAACACTGTTGACAGTGGGGAAGATGTATCAGAAGATATTTCAGAAGACTGGAGGAAGGAGATTAGTTGCAATAGTTCAAAAAGAGGAGATGGTGGCTGTGAGGAGACAATTTGGAGAGATAGTAAAGAGAGAGTTGACGGGTGGAATGTGAGAGAGGCATGTTGAATGACTGCTGGTTTGGCTTAGAGGACTGTTGAATGAAGGGATCACCATCTGGGAGATTTTAGAAAGATTTTTTTTTTTTTTGTTCCACCTTGGTTAAACATCTCTCTGATACACTTTTGTTGAGTTAAAAGACAGACATGGGTTTACATCTTGAATTCTATCATGTGTTGGTGCTGTAATACTGGGCAATGTCAGTCACTTACAGTTATTGAGTGCTTACCTAACCTTTCTAGGCCTCAGTTTTCTCGACTATAAAAGAAGGATAATCCTACCCTGAAAGGGAATTGTAATAATTAGAGATAATGCAGAGTACCCAATACATAAAAACCCAAAACCAACTCACTGCCATCAAGTTGATTCCAACTCATAGCAACCTCCACTGGGTTTCCAAGGTGGTAAATCTTTACAGAAGTAGATCACTCCATCTTCCTTCCATGGAGTGCTGGTGGGTTTGAACCACCAACCTTCTGATTATCAGTCAAATGCCTTAGGCACTGTACCACCAGATACATAGTGGCCTTTAATAAGCAGGGGCTATTATTGTTACAAAGGAGCTCTGGTGGCTCAGTGTTTCAGTCATTCAACTGCTAACCACAAGATTGGTGGTTCGAATCTACCAGCTGCTCTGTGGGAGAAAGATGAGGCAGTTTGCTTCTTTAAAGATTTACAGCCTTGGAAACTCTATGGGGGATAGTTCTACACTGTCCTACATGGTTGCCATGAATTGGAATTGACTAGATGGCAGTGAGTTTGGTTTGGTTTATTATCATTACAGTGCAATTTTCTTCTCAAAACAATAACAACACAGATTTGGTGATGCACATGTTGTAATGTTTCATGTAGTAGGAAATATTGTGCCAGGAATTATAAAGTGAAGCAGAATCAAAATGTTGCCAAGAAATATGAGAAAATAAGCAATTTTGATTTAACAGTGTAAGAGCCAGCATTTTCTAAAAAGTATCTTTGTGCCACATTTTGGGGAAAGTTCTAAATGTGCAAGACATCAGTCATAACTAGATCAGATATATATGTACAAGGGCAGCCTTTATATAATGAATATGCCTGTTTTTCATTTTAGGACCCCAAATCAAATTTGATCCAACAGTGGCTGTCAGAACAGAATAATCTTGGAGTTGTTTCCAAAACTTTTCAGTTATCTTCCCATCCAATACTTGGTGACTGGTCCATTCAAGTTCAAGTGAATGTGAGTATAAGTATATCAGTATTTCTTTTGGGTAATGCTAAAAGGATTTCAATAATTCAAGTGGGGAGTTATCTGCAACATCATCTATTCAATGAACAGAAAACATTTAAGAACAGGTGAATATCTAAATAATTTAAGTTGTTTATTTTTAATTTACTGTGGAGTTAGCCTTCATTATGACATATTAGAGTTTTAATTATTGTCTTTTTCTATAAAATAATATTTGAATGTTAATATATTTTGGCATTTTAGTATGAGATTAATTAAATATATTTTTTAAAAACATAGATTGCATGCATTGAGTACTTTAAAATTAAGTACTGAGTAGATAGCTATTATTTGGCAAGTTGTATGTCTCAGAATAATGACTTGATGAGTAATTGGGCTAACATGTTTTAATTATCTTTGTTTGAATAAACAATGGCTTTATATAACCATATCAACCTTCTGTTTCCCTATTCTCTTTCTCTCCAACTCCTCCACCTACTCCCTTTATTTGCTGACAATTCATATAACTCTGAGATCTAATAGGGAAGGGGCATTAAAATGCCATATTTCTCTTTGTGCTTCAGGTTTTCTACATCTCATTTTCTTTACAATTTATCAAGATGAGCGTAATTCACTAATAAGAACTTTAGAAAAAGAGTTCTGTTAGAACAGGGCTTTACCGCCAGTGTTTTGTACTGGATGATTCTTTGCTGCAGAGGCTGTGCTGTACACTTTGGGATGTTCAGCAGCATCTCTGGTCACTATCCACTGATGCCAGTAGCATCCACCCCCTCTGCCCTAATTGTGACAACCAAAAATGTCTCTAGACTTTGCCAAATATCCTCTGGGGGAAAAAAATATCTCTCTCTTTGGTTGAGAGCCACTGTATTAGAAGAAATAATTATTTGTTATAAGATGTCAGATAAGGTAAAAGTATCCATATGTGACCTACTTTTTACTTGCATTATCACAACAGTCCTAAAAAATAGATTTTATTATATTCCTTTTCTAGATGAAAGCCATAAGGATGGTTTTAGCTAGATGGCAGGCTCTGAGAGATTGTTTAATGAGGGGTGAACAGAGTAAGTACCAAAGGAGAGAGAGTGATAGACTAATTGAGAGAGACTTGTGGAAGATGTGATAGTAGATTTGAAAGAATGATGGGATTCTCATACAGTTATTTGAATTTGACCTGTCTCATATTATTTTAGTAGGAAAAAAAGATAATGCTTTTAAGAAATTTTAGGTGCTTAAAATGTGAAAAGCAAGATCTGACTCTTGTCCATCTCTTCAGCCTTATAAGTGCCACTCTTGCCCTTGAACTCCATGCTTTAGACGTATGACATCCTTTCAGTTTCTCAGACTCACCACTCTTATTCCAGAGCTTCCTACATGCTGTCCTTGCCACCTGGAATGCTGTTCTATCTACTGATATTCTAGCTAGTTGTTGTTTACCATTCAGGCCACAAAGAAGGAAAATTAAGCCATTTTACTAAAAATGAGTTATTTAGTGGCCACCAGGGGTCAGTATAATCAAAGAAATGCTGTAAAAGGCAGCCCTGACCCGTGTTGGGTCTCGCGTTTTTATTTTCCCTTGACTCCTACACAGCATTAAAGGACCAGCTATTGTTTATTGTTAAACTGCTGTTCTTTCCTCAGTGAAACATTACTATGACGGAAATATATTTTAATATTTCTAAGATGGTGACCATTCTCACTGTAAAACTCAGGGAGGGGAAAAATTTATTTTCAGAAGAGTGTTTTGAAATCCCATTTTGTCTCTAGAAAAAATATGGAAAATAAGTATTACTGGCAGGCAATGTATTTGAAAAATACAAGAGTTATTACAAATCAGTGCTTTGATTTGTAGTGGCCCTGCAGATGATCAGAGAGTGGCATTCTTTAGTAACCCTTTGCACTAGGTCAGAGAAAGAAATCCTTTAGATGAAACTCCTGGTTTGGTCCTTGGAATTCTCCACCTGTAATATGTTTGTTTGTAGAATAAAAATCAATGAATAATCATTATCTTTTCTGGATCACTTAAATTGCTTTTGAACTTCAGCTATTGCTTTCATCTTCAGGATTTTTTTTTTCCTTTTTTTTTTTTTTAAATTGTGATTTGGATGATAGTTTACAGAGCAAGTTCATTTGCCAGACAACAGAAACATTTGTTTCATGGCATTGACTGCAATCTCTTAATGTAACAGCTCTCTTCCCACTTCCTCGCTGTGGTTACCTTTTCCTGGTGTCCTTCTTTCCCATGATTACTGCCCTCTGAACTATTTCCCTGTGCAAATACTGCTCTTCTGATCTCCCATGATTGTTATAAGGAGTAACAGTGTTCATTGGTATAAGGTGTTAATGTTCACTCTCTGTGCCTGTCTTTCGTTTGGCTGGAAGCCACAGAAGTAGAGTTCAATTCACGGCCTGAAAGGTGACTAGGGGCCATGGGAGTTTTACCAGTCTCCTATCAAATGCATAGACATGGTCTTTTTTATGATTTTGAGTTTTGTTCCACATTTTTCTCCCACTCTATATAGGATATCCTATACTGATCCCTTTCCAAGTGGTTGAGAGTGGAAGCCAGGTACTATCTGGTTCTTCTGGTCTCATGGTCATGTAGGCTGAGGTTCACATGGTCCACTAGTCCCTTGGACTAATCATTTCCATGTGTCTTTGGTTTTCTTCATTCTTCTTTGCTCCAGATGAGGAGAGAGTAATCATCTCTTCTATATGGCAACTTGCAAACTTTTAAGACTCCAGTCACTACTCACCAAAGTAGGATGCAGAACAATGTTTTTGTGTAGTATGTTATGCCAAGTGACCATGGTCCTGAACCCACAGGCCCAGCTACTCACTCCCTCAGGGTGGTTGGCTGGGTGAAGAAATTATCATAATTTTGTTCCCTGTTACTCACTGTTGTCAAGTGAGATCCAACTCATAGTGACCCCTTCTTGGGTTTCTGAGGCAGTATCACTATGGAAGTAGATTGCCCAACAGGCTGCTAGAAGGCATTTTAGAGGTTTTTTAAAAGAAAGGGTAATATTGGTGTCTGAGAAATGATCTCCTGCCAACCAGGAAGAATGTGGGCCTTCTGGCCCTCTACCTGAACTTTTCATTGCGGGCAGCCTATGGCTCAGGGTGGCTGACCTAATCATTATAGCTCAATTCCTCTGAGAACTCAGAGAAGATTCTGATTCTGAGAGGCTCCTGTTCACTTGATAATTGCAGCCCTGTGCCTTCTTTCCTAAGGGACTCTGGTGGTGCAGTGCATAAGGCATTTGGCTGTGAACCAGAAGGTCGGTGGTTCAAACCCATCAGCTTCTTTGTGGGAGGTAAAAGTTGCCAATACCCCACTGCTTATTATAGTCTTGCAGAATAATCTTTATCTTTTCTTGTCTTCCTGCCCAGCTATTTCCTGGGTCAGCTTGCTTCTGCTGTTGGGTTTGTACTTCCATAAAGATTTACAGCCTTGGAAACCAATGGGGGTTGCTATGAGTCAGAATTGACTTGATGACAACGGGTGGGTGTGGTGGTGGGCCCTCTTTCCTAAGTGTCAGATGGAAGCCTGCCTTCTCTTCCAGAGTGGCTCATGCTACTGAGTTTCCCACAAGGGTCTCTTGAGACTCTGGCCTGCTACCACATACCAGTGGTTCTCACACATCAGTGTGCCTAAGAACTTATGACTGAGGAGCTTTTTAAAGATGCATAGGCCAGCCCTTGCCCTGAGAGACTGTGATTCAGTAATTCTGACAGGGGACTTAGGAATTTGCATTTTAAACAAACCGGGTAGGAGATTTTATTTTTGGACCATGTTTTGAGATGTACTGATATATGTCCATAGTCAGATACCTTTTTTTTTTTTTAAATTTTAAGAGCTTGTTTTACATTCAACATTATGTGTACATTTAGTTTCACTCCCCATTTACCATGTCCAACCCTAACCCAGTCTCCCCCCTCCCTACGCTGTCACCCTCCCCCTGTGCCCCTCATATTTATGCACTCCTGTTTGTCTTGTATTTCCTCAATTTGAATGTTGGTCCTCTGGTGCCCTGTAGACTATTGCTCTGAGGGATGTATTACCACAGAGTATGTGGGTGCATCATCCTGGGTTGAGTGGTCTCAACATCTTGTTATGTAGTGGCATGTACATCTTGTTAACTGTTGGGCTGAGAGCCAGCCCCTGCGAGTGAGTTTTATTCCAGGTGCAGAATGTATTCCATGGCCGTAGTATTGGGGGTCTCAACTTTGATCTGTTCCATTGAGAGGCAGTGTTGGGTGGTTGAAAAGGCACAGGACTGAGAGAGGCCACCTGATTTATTCTTTGAAGTCCCACACAGTTCCTTTGAACTCAGACTATTGACTCCATCTCTCTAGGTGACTAGCTTAAAGCTTTCTGGCCCCATCCTGGACTTACCAAGTCAGAATTTTGGGGACCATTTGTATGTAGAAAACAATCTCTCTGATGATTCAGATGCACAGCTATTCTTGGAACCACTGAATTAGATAATCTCCCTAGTCTTTCGTAGTTCTAACACTGTAGTTTCTCAGCCCTTGATTCAGTGTGAAGCCAATGTTTGGGGTTAGGAGATGAGAAATTGAATGTAGAAAATTCAACTCAAAATTCAAAAGCTTAAAACTTGAAATCACTTTCTGTGGATTCTGTGCAGTATTTAGAAGTGTTAAATTATTATGTAATTCAGAAATAATCTGCATTGAATCGTTCATTTGCTCATAGCAGTTCCATTTACTTTCTCTTGAGTTAGTTATTCTAGAAAGGTTAGATACGTTGCCAATACCTCACTGCTTTTTATAGTCTTGCAGAATAATCTTTATCTTTTCTTGTCTTGCTGCCCAGCTGTTTCCTGGGTCAGCTTGCTTCTGCTGTCAGGTTTGTCTGGAGCCATTTGTCCTTTGTAAAAGAGCACATCTTTGTTCGGACAGTTCTTGTCCCTGAAGTGTTCTACAAGTAGCATCTGGTAAACACTCCCCTTGAAGTTTGATGACAGCTT